ATACAGGTGCTTTAAAGAACCCACTGCCATTTAGACAAAGCAGACACCATTGTGAGGACCATGTACTTTGATTTGTCCAGTGTATTTAACACAATTCATGATTTATTTTGTGAGAAACCTCAGAAGACTCAGGTGGAGGCATCACCAATGGCCTGGATCAAATACTGCCTGACAAACAGACCATAGTGTGTTAGACTGAAGGGTCACCTGTCTAATCAAGTAGTTAGCAGCACAGGAGCACCACAGGGGACACTACTCTCACCATTCATTTTTACTCTGTACAGGTCTGACATCTGGTACCAGACAGAGTCTTGTCATCTTAAGAAATACTTGGATGACTGTGCAGTCATTGTTTTCATCAAAGATGGACAAGAAGCTGAGTACAGAGAGCTGGTGAACTGTTCTGTGGCATGGTGTGGAAATAATCATCTGATCATAAAAGTTAACTAAACAAGGGAGATGTTTGTAGATTTCAGAAGAAACAGGAACAAGTTGAGACCTGTTAAAATCAGTGGAGAAGAAGTTGAGGTGGTTGAGGAGTATAAATACCTTGGTATTTACCTGGATAGAAAACTAGACTGGAGACATAACTGTGAAGCCATCTACAAAAACGGACAGAGCAAACTGTCATTCTTAAGAAAGCATAGATCCTGCAGCTTTTGCAAAAAGCTGCTACATATCTTCTATAAGTCACGTGTGGATTGTGTGTTCTCCCCAGCATCAGAGCAAATGACTGCAATGCTCAACAAGCTGATAAAGGCTGGCTCTTTTCGAGGTAGTCCTCTAGAACCCCTGGAGATCATTTTACAAAGGAGAATTCTTCATAAAGTTAAGAATGTTACGGAAAACAGTGAGCATCCTCCTCAGGAGATTTTAAAACAACAAAGTGTCTTCAGTCAGAGCCTTCTCCAGATCCGGTGCAAGACAGATGGATACAGAAGATCCTTCCTGCCTACAGCTATCAACACCTACAACAACTTGATGGAAGAAAATAAATATATATATATATGAGTTACGGTAACATTTTATTCCCTTTGGGATTAATAAATAAAATTAAGTATTTTTCAACTGAAATGAATAAGAATTTGTATGCAGTTTGCCATTTCTACACAACATTAGAAAAATGAAAAAAAAAAAAAAAAAAAAAAAAAAACTACTTGGCATGTCTTAGGGGGGAATATTTTGAAAACAGAGAAACCAAATAAAGTACAATATTAACAATTTTACCATATTGACCAATGTTGGTGCAAAATTAGTTAGATGTTTTTAAAGATTTGAACTTATATTATTCATTGCACGAGTAAAATCACCAAGCACAGGTGACATATCAATCACTTGGGTGGGGAAATAAGATTTCACAGGGTTTCAAAGGTATTTGCCAAAACTGGATCCTGCAACAGGACAGTTACTTAAAAAAATGGTACAGCTCTAGAGGAGTTGGTGAGAAACGTCGAAATAGATGGTCCTTAGCAGAACTGAGGCTTCAGAAACAGGCTGTACATTAAGAAAACTCATCAAACATGAAATTGTAGATGGCAATATGCACCTCACTGTAGTTTAAGCAATACCTAACATAAGAGGGGAAGGAGTCCTTACTTGTTTCTTTCTTAGAAAATCCATTACTTTTATATTATTTCTTAATCATTGGGTTAAATAAAATTAGTTGTTCTAAATTATAGTTATGGATTTTTTTCCTAATGGACTCAATAAATTGATCCTTATAAGAGAACCAGATCTAATAAAAACTTTATAACCAGTGAGGTGTAAACCCACCCATTTTTTGCTTCCTCAAAGCACATCCATCTTTCTGTTCGAGTTTGTAATGATCTGTATTCAGTTGGGACACCCTTGGAAGATGGGTGTGTGTGTGTCTAAACACGAGTGTGTGAGAAAACAGGAATGAGCGGGGCCGGGGACGGGAGGCTTGGGGGGGAGTTAAGGTATCACTTCCTGATCACTATCTTATATAATCACGTGTTAACAGAGAAAGACAGGAGCTGAGGACGAGAGGGAGATAATGGAGAGAAAGGGAGGTAGGAGAGCAAGGGGAGGAGGACTTCAGCGTTGCAGCTGCGGATTGAGCTGCAAACCGACCAATGGGGCGCCGTCTGTCGGCCTGAGCCGCCGCAGTATCCGCGCTCTATTGGAGAACGTGCGCAGAGTTGGTGCCTGCGCCCATGCACTCTCTCCTGCGCTCACACAGACGCGCGCGCATGCACGCGGATAGGAGGGAAGAGGAGAGCAGAGAGTGGGCTCTCCGCAAGCCACGCAGAGAAGCTTTGCCCCGGTTAGGATGGCTGCGGGCTGACAGAGCCAGGAAATTAGAGGAGGTCGGATAAATAAGGAAAAGAAGAAGAAAAAAAAAACAACTCAAAGTGTTGAATCGTTTTCTGTGTTCTGAAGCTGTCGCGCGCGTTGCGCGCTATACAGGTAAGGAGATGAATAAGTTTTTTTCCTGCGTTTTGAGGAGCGATGGGAAGTTGATATTTGTGCCCGTGCGCACGGCTTAGACGGGCGTGTGCTTGCCGCAAATTGGCCACTTAGATTGCATCGGGCAAGATGAAATGAAGTGCAGTGCGTGTGTGCGTGCCGAGTTTTGACCGAGCCAATGAGAACGACATGGACTGGGGAAAACAGTGCGCACCGGTGTGTTTCTTCTCTTCTTTTCCCTTTTCTATCTGTAATGAGTGCACTCAACGCCTCAGTGGAGTTATTAATGATTGACAGGGTGAATAACAGTGTGGACGTCTTAGGATGCCCGATCACCTCCCATCAACACCACCCCTAATGTGTGGCCAGACTGGGATTTACGCGCACTGCAGGAAACAGAAGTCCACTCTTAGGATCTGCGGCTTCTATTGAAGTCTATCCAGTTACAGTCTGTCCAGTTCTCTCTAGAGGGAGAAAAATGAAAGAATGCATGCCTTGTTTCATCTGAATTTCTGCGAATTTCTATGTGTGAGTGAAAAGATGCAAGTGTCTTCCTCAATGTGGTATTGACGGATTTCAAGGAGCATAGGGAGAGCCATATGGCTGCCAATTGTTTGACATCCTTTAAAAGGTGCTCACTTGTCATCTTGTTTCAGATGTAGTGAGCGAAGGAAACATTATGCATGATCTGCTTGTTAAAAAGATTGTCTTGATAACTGACTTAATATAGCTGACAAAATATACATTTGTATGAGGCTCCCTCTCCATCTGGAGACCAGAAGAAAAACAACTGGTGAAGGGTTAGGGTGTTTTTATTTATTTATTTTTCCTTTTTTAATTTCCCTTATTGTGTCCTAGAGACACATTTAAAGCCCTTTGTTTCTGAAGATTACACTTATTATACTTATCCATGAGGGGATGGTAAATTGACATCTTTAGGGGATTAGCTGGTTGTAATGGAAAATAAGCAATGGTCCATTGAATCTTATTTTGATTTTATGTGATAGACCAACAAAAATGGAAGATAAATTATACTTTTTTTTTAAACAAAAACATGTTGGGTACATTCCCATGCATCTCAACAACAAATATTAAGCATTTTAATCTATCTACAACAGTCCCCACAGCATAATGCTGCCACCACCTTGTTTAGCATAAGGATTGTTTGCTGAAGGTGATTTGCAGAATAAGCTTTCTTCCACACAAAGTTAATGGAGAAAAAACTTCAACTTTACAACTAGAGCAGGTTTTCCCATAATGCAACTTCAAGAAGCTGCTATTGGAGTTTTTTTTTTTATTGTTTTCTTTTAAGAAAGGTTTGAATTTTTTCATTCTCAAACACAAAAGGAAGCTGTACAAAAACATGAATTTCTTCTAACTGATATGTGGATCTCTGCATCTTCTCCATTGTCCCTTTAGAGCTGCTGGCTGCCTGTATGCTAAGTTTGGACAGCCATGTTTTTGTAGATTTGCAGATTTCAAATATTCTACTCAAATTTTGATGGTCGTCTATGCTTTGTGAGATATAGCAGTTTAATATTCCTCACTCAAACCCAAAGCAGGAAGTTTTATACTATAATTCCAAACTGATCATCATAAAATGTAGGTTTGTCCATTAAACACACTTACTTTTAACATAATAAGTTGCTGTTTGTTGCATAAAATATGTGCTTGGAATTAAGAAAACAGCCTCAGAAGATCCCAAATTTAAATAATCCCTAATCTTCCAAATGTTTTTGTCATCTACTAATTTTTTTGGTTGTTTCTTTCAAAATCTTGCCCAAATCCAGAGCATAGATCTGTAGCAAATGAATAAACAGCCTCAGCTAGCTTAAACTGGAAACCATCTTGTGGGGAGTTTCAGAGCTTCTCTTACCATCAACACTTTGATGGACCGTGTGAAAATGGAATGGGAAAACTGCCTTAATTCTGAAGGAGATCAAACAGCTAGTGAAGCAGTTTGAAATGTACTGGTCAGATGCCCGGTTTAATCTGGCATGTGCAACATTCTGGAATACCAACATATGCAGAATAAATCCCACCAGATGGACAAATATATGTTTTTAGATTTAAGACTGACAGTATTTTATGAACACTATTTAGTTTGTGTTATTTAGATTATTTTTAGTGGCAAAGACCAATATTGATTGACCTTAGCAAAGTAAATCATGCATCCTTCTGTTGTACTTCCTTAAAGCTTGGACGTTTGCAGATGTTTCTCTCCACCAATCAATGTAGAAGAGGGGGACTGCACCCTGGACAAATCTGTCACAAGGCATCAACAATATCCACAGTTCGACATTCACACCTAAAGGGAATTAAAAGTATCTGGTTGATCTATAGTGCAATGGAAATATAAGCCTTTCTACAGGTCTTCTTTTAAGATCATAAAACTAATTTAAGTTAGGTTAAGAACAGTTGCCGAAGGATGTAAAATACTCTTTAGCAGTTATTGCATTTGTTTAATGGCGGTAATTTATAAAAGTGTAATTTTGTAACCTTAAGTATTTGAGAAGAAAGGAAAATTACTTCAGCTAAAAAAATTGACTTTGACATTAGCAACACAAGTAAACATAGGATTTGCTAGACTCCCATATTTTCTGGACTATAGAAAACACCTCATTATAAGCCGCGGCCACTATATTAAAAAAAAAAAAAACTTTAAACTTACACACATAAGCCGCACCGGGCTTTACTGTTAGCTGCTAATATCTACTGAGCTGTCTCCCCCCAAACTTGCATGGGGAGGTCTACATGTAGCCCGTGGAGTAGAGACAAGAAGAATTTTAGCTCCCGTTAGCTTGTTGGCTCGCTGCAGTAAGAGCTTCTACTGAAAGATGGGGCTTCGTCTGCTCTTTATTTCAGCTCTGCAGGAATCGAGCCCAGTCTCTTCATTTGCTCGGCTGCTTCAATGCAACAAAATATGTCAAAATGTCTGAATTCGGGACATTTGTCCTGTGTCGAGCGTACTGCGAACATGTTCTTGTGCTAAATGAAATTAGCCCCTTTCATTCACATTAGCCCCATTCACCTTTCATTTCCAACTTTGACTTCCCCCTTTGGTGGTTAGGAAAAATCAACAGAAAAGCCAAACATTCTTATAAGCTGCTTGGTTCAAAGCTTGAGAAAAAAAAATACAGTAAATATAAAACATTTCTTTCTTTTTTTATGGTAAGCTTTAAAGCACAATAAAAAAAATATGTATAAACGATTTTGTGTTTTAATCAGGTTAAAATTCTTTCAAAATAAAATGTATTTGAGGATAAGAAACACCTGAACGCAATCCAAAAGAAATTGAAAAACGAGTTATATTTAACAATGCATTTACATGGGGCTAGAAATTACTTCAAAATTGATTGACGGAACTGATATTTGCCATTCCAATGATATGGATAATCCTTTCAGTTGATTGTAGGATGCTTTAGCCTTTTAAAGAAAACTGCTTGCTGGAAATACTAACAAAAATAAGTTAGTAATATTCATACACAGCAATCATTTACCATGAGGAAGCAGAGATTACTAGTTGCTCTAAACATCACTGACCACCTATAAAAAATGATTGAGCACCTGTTGACATGCACAGGCCGTCACCTGCCCAGTAGTAATACAAGATTAACTGCAGATGTTGTGAAATGAAAAACTGATCCCACTGAAACAGTTTGTTTATATAGTGCATGTTTGTATGGCCTTCTGTCTGAAAGAATCTCAGGGTCAGTTTGGCTATCATCAGTGCCTCTAAAGACAGTAGCCGAGTGTGATGATTTTCTTCTAAATACAGACCTGAGTGTTACCAGTTTGCATGATTTTAATGTTATGTAGATGCTGAGATAACCCAAATAGGAATTTTTCTGTTTGAAGCAAATCACAACATTGCTAAAAAAAACATTTAAGGAACAGTGATTTTTGGGCAAACATTAGCTACACTGAAAAATTACTTGTAATTGAGACATTTCAATTACTATAAAGATATAGGTCAGAGTTCTACTGGTGCTGTACACAAACCTTTTTACAAAAATGTGTCATTGTAGTGTTTTTGCTGTCTAAACCTCAATTTTAATAGCAGTATTGCTTTTAGGTGTCAGTTGGCTGCGCATGAGAGGTGAAAGGACATTTCTGGAAATATTTATCCCCGATAAAAATAAAATCATTTGGAGGTTTTATTTACAACATATAATAAAGAAGTTAGGTCTTAGGCACCAGAGAAGCAGTGAGAAGAGTTTTAAAACAGTAGAAGAAATAAAGTTCTGGGCCTGTTTCAGGTCAAAGATGTATAACAATTCAAATACATGTTTGCAAAAGTGAGAGAATCGATGGTGCTCCTGAACCAGTGTGGCACTTATCTCAGTACTTCCTCCATATACTGTGGTAATCAAAGAGTAGGCTGCTTTCACACCAAACCATTGTGAGTCTTTTAGCTATGCCAGAGCCAATCTTTTGTACCCAATGATGTCACTGTGAACCAAATCCAGGACCCTGAAATGAACCGTGGAACCATAACCTGGTAAGGTTACAACTGCTGGTCCTAGAATTTTTATATGGAGCCTGGAGAAGGTAGCTTGTTTGTATCAATGTGTTCATGGCCCAGCATACTAAAAACACTTAGGATGCAACATACATTTGAGTAGAAATAAAAGAAAATGAAAAACCAAAAGAGCTCAAATCAGAAGTTAAAATTCTTTGAAAATGTCCGGCTTGGCTACAGAGAGCAGGGTTCCCCTAACCCCGGTCCTCCAGTTCTAGGCCAATCCCAACCGCCCCCTAAGCACTAACCCTTAACTAGGGCTGAGTAAGAAAACTATTAATTTAATCATTCCTTTAAATTTTTACAAAATCAATGTGTAGGGAATGAGATCGATTAGTTATCCGGTGATGTATTTGGCTTTCACGTTCAAATGAGCAGGTGTGTGCAAATGCCTACAAAATAACACACCGCTCAGCATGCCAACCCAACTGAAGTCTGATGTCTGGAACCATTTGGATTTAAAACAACTAAAGATAAT